CTACCATATTTTTTACGGTGAAGTTCTGGCAACCACAGCTGCCGGTATTTTACCGTAAATGTCACAGATTTTTTTTTTACAGTGTATGGATGAATGTCTGTTCAAAAGAAAAGTTATATTTTGCATAATCGAAAAAACAAAAAGTATAATATTGTATTGAAGAATTTCTACACAAAGTGAATTATGAAAACATAACTCATTTTTATGAGAACATGTGGTTCATGATGTTAATGTCCCAATGCCAAAAAAGAAAAGAAAAAAAAAGGTTAATGAAAAACATGAATTTTTGTAATTTTTGATTCACATGTATTTCATTTTGTGACAAAAAGGACACAAAACAATGTTTTAAACATTGCTTTAATGGCAAATGTTTTAAAGATGCAATTAAGCAGATCTTTAGATGGACACCTTTAGCTGTTTGTAATGAACTCGAGACACAGAAACAATATACGTGACCTTTTTCAGAAATATTATGTGATTATTACATCTAATGTCGTTAAATTAATGTTTATTGCATTATTTCAGTATCGTGTGTCACCATTATGGGGTTTAGTGTTTGTGTGAATGACACTGTATGTAGTACATACAAGTATTGTCCTCCTCAGCTCATAGACAAGCTGTTTGTGATGAGCTTTAGTTCATCATGTGACTTTCTCATCACCACCAGTTTTTGGTGGTTATCAGTGCATTACAATGGTTCAAAACAAGCAGATCTTTAGATGGACACCTTTAGCTGTTTGTAATGAACTCGAGACACAGAAACAATATACGTGACCTTTTTCAGAAATATTATGTGATTATTCTTGTCACTGTTATCTCACACACCTCTTTCCTTTTATCGCTAGTTTCATCCTCTCCCTCTTTCTCTCTTCCATCTCATCTCTGAAAACCTAAAATGTTGCTACCATATTTTTTACGGTGAAGTTCTGGCAACCACAGCTGCCGGTATTTTACCGTAAATGTCACAGATTTTTTTTTTACAGTGTATGGATGAATGTCTGTTCAAAAGAAAAGTTATATTTTGCATAATCGAAAAAACAAAAAGTATAATATTGTATTGAAGAATTTCTACACAAAGTGAATTATGAAAACATAACTCATTTTTATGAGAACATGTGGTTCATGATGTTAATGTCCCAATGCCAAAAAAGAAAAGAAAAAAAAAGGTTAATGAAAAACATGAATTTTTGTAATTTTTGATTCACATGTATTTCATTTTGTGACAAAAAGGACACAAAACAATGTTTTAAACTTAAAGATGCAATTAAGCAGATCTTTAGATGGACACCTTTAGCTGTTTGTAATGAACTCGAGACACAGAAACAGTATACGTGCCCTTTTTCAGGAACATTATGTGATTATACTTGTCACTGTTATCTCACACACCTCTTTCCTTTTATCGCTAGTTTCATCCTCTCCCTCTTTCTCTCTTCCATCTCATCTCTGTTTGCTCATTAGGCTGTTTAGTGAGGCATGTTAATGAAGGCCAGCAGGTCACCACGCACAAACAAAGAGAAATTCACAGTCTGCAGCTCATGAAAGCCTTTTCAGTCTCACCAACCAAAGACCTTCCTCCCACTCAGCAACATTTTCCAATGAACTCATAAAGATGAACTTACCGTGTTTCCTACGGAAAACATATTAGGTGTCTGTGTGGTATTCTAATCATTGCCCAGCTATAATGTGATGGCACTCATTTCATGCTGTGTTTGGATTTCTGTTAGAACATTGACAAAAATGTGTCCAGTTAATTAAATCTAGATTTAGTAAGTGACTTTATTAAGATGTAACGATTGTTTTTGCCACGAACCATGACTCCATATTGCTTAGCACATTTTTAAGATAAGCATCACTATTGCTATTTCTCATACTCAAGGTTAATGATTTCAACAAACCTCTAGGCTCTAACCCTGTAGATATGGATTAAAAAAAAAAGACATCTTACCAACTGCATAGTAATACCCACATACTGTAGAAACACTCAAAGCACACTATTTAGCAACAGCATATGAATGCCCTGGCAACTACCAACAATACCATTAACAACCAAATAGCAACAATCAGAAACACTATTTAGGAACACCTTTGCAAGTGCATATCACCCGCGTGAACACTCTGGCAACAGCACAACAATGCACCGAAAACACTCTTACAGTCTTACAGTACCAACAATAGTGTAATGCCATGGCAACTACCAACAACACAATTAACAACCAAACTGCAACACTCAAAAACACTGCTTAGCAACAGTTAAGCAACTATACATCAACTCTGAAAACCTTGGCAAGGACATATCAACCACGAGAACATTATAGCAAACACAAAGCAATGCACTAAAATTACTCAGCAACTCTTAACAACAGCAGTAATTCAGTGACAACCAACAGCATAGTATTGCCCGGGCAACCAACCATAACACCTTTAACAATAAAATAACACATAAAATAAAATAAAATAAAAAAACACTTCTTTGCAACACCTTACCCATTAACCATGAGAACACCCTAGCAACCACACAGCAACATACTAAAAACACTCAGAACATCTTACCAACCATAAGGTTATGCCATGGGAACCACCCACAACACCCTTGATTATTGTAGCAACACTTAAAACACACTACTTAGCAACACCTTATCAACTACATTGCAACACTCAAAGAAAATTAAACTCTACTTGGTAACACCTTAGCCACTTATTAACCACAAGAACACCCTAGCAATCATACAGCAATGCACTAAAAACACTCAGAATATCTTATCAACTGAATAATAATGCCCCTTAATAGCCACACTTGAAACACACTACTTAGCAACATCTTAGCAACTACATAGCAACATTTTAAAAAAGCACTACTTAGCAACACTTATTAACCATGAGAACACCCTAGCAACCACACAGCAGTGCACTAAAAACGCTCAGAACATCTTACCAACTGCATAGTAATGCCACGGCAACCACCCACAACACCCTTAACAACCACATATTGTAGCAACACTCAAAACACATCACTTAACAACATCTTAGCAACAACATTACATGCAAAAAAGACCTCTAACACTAGCTTGCTCTATTCTTTTTCTATTCTATCGGTTTTCTTTT